CAGTTTTAGTTTAAGTTGACAAATAAACCTGCTTTGAATGACCAGAAGGAGAAAATGAAGTTCAGAAGACGAACAACATATTTTCCACTTATTGGCTGGATGGGTGATGTAGGATGGAGATAATAGAGGAAAGAAAGGGAGAGAAAGAGAGTGAGGCAGTAATTATAAGAGAATTAAATAGAGGAGAGTGAGCTCTAGCCAGATTAAGGCTGACTGCTAGAACAGAAGGAGAGCGAAAATAACAGGATCTCTCACTGCTATCCTTCCACCTTCAGCTGGATCTTGATTGTACTCTCCCAGTGTTTATTGTGTTGTCCTAATATAATATGCCAGAACAAATACAATAAAAACAGACCAGACTCTAAGATCTGATTGCATGAGCTACATCACAGTAAATAGTCGCTATACAGTACATCCGTGACCACGTATCAGGTATTACCAAAATTGCCATGTTGCTCAGCAACCATAATAACCAAACAGTCAGGCTAATTAAGTAATATCACATGAGCAAGAGGGATGTGGAATATAAACACAGATGATATTTGGCTGTAGTCCCACAGTGTACCAGTTTTGCCTTCCTGTTTCCTAGTCAGTTTCCATTGTTGTTTCTCTTCAGTTGATTACGCTTCTGTGTATTTAAGCCCTTTCTGTTCATAGTTCTCGTCAATGTTAATGTACAGCATCCTTGTTTATTCTCCTTAAAGTAATTAAAGCTTGTTCTTTCTAGTATATTGTGCCGTGCCTGTGTCTTGATATAATGACGTGATATAATATCACTCAAAAAAAAAGCTCTTTGAATGAACATAAAAAAATCATGGAAAGGATTTCCACATGATTAACTTGCTTAATTTCAGTATTATGCAATTATGTTATTCCAACTTATTGTACTTGCGTTGGGTCAACTTAATTCATTAAGGTTGATTCAACTTATTTACTATGTTTGGGTACAGCCTTATTTAATAGTGTCAGTGATTTTAAAAAGGCTCCATGTCCCCTGCACTCAAAAAAATTATCTGTTGAAAGAACTTAATTAAATTAAGGAAAGGTTTTCCACGAAATTGAATTACATTTTTCCAACAAATTTAAATTAGTTTGAAATAATTAGTTGTAATCTTGTTGTATGAATTTAAATTAATTTAGTCATTGCTACTAGATAAAGTTGTGTCAGATTAACTACATTTAGTTTTGTCCTGCCTTATTTCACTAACATTATAATTTTAGTTATTTTGACTCTATGGTCACTTCTATAGATAAACACTTCTAGTTTTTTTTCAATTGAATTAAACAATTTTTTACATAATAATATCATATTACTTGTGCAGGACTGCAAGTGAGGTTTCTGCATAGTGCATACTGAGTACCCACAGCCTGAGCAGGAGGTTTAAAGCACACATAGTGTAATATTGAGTCTGAATACAATACTGACCCAAACACAGTCACCACTCTTCTGCATAATGGTAACCACAAAATTCAAAAACATTACAGAAAGTACTCTAAGTTTCTAACATAACTTAACATAAAACACTAACATTAACTAACAACATCTTTCCATTTACTGAAAAACACATAAAATAACACTTTTTCCATATATTGACCCTCTTAATGCAGTCCCTTGCAAAGCATGCTGGGAACTACAAATCCACTGCCCAGTTAGATGTCAACAACAATGATTCATGTAGATTTCACACAAATGAATTCGGTTGATTGAACACAATTAAATTAGGTTGTGACAATATTAAACAATCATGTTACGTTTGCTTATTTTAATTAATTATTTTAACAAGAGGCCAAAATTCATTTTTTGAGTGTTGATATCTCTTCCTTGTCCACAACATTATTCGAAGGCCCCATGACTTTCACAAAAAAGAAAATCACACTTCAAAGAAAGAAAAACTGCTTTTTAGCTGTTTTAGCTTTAAGATTTGTTTTGACTTCTCTGTTTTTTTTTTTTTTTGTTTTTTTTTTGTTTTTTTTTATCTTGAGGCCCCCAGTGGGCCCCAACCCCTGGTAGAGAAACTGGCCTATTATTTTATTGTTTATGATGTATCTAATATATATATATTTGATATCTATGGACATGTCCATGCTTCGGATTGGTGATTTAGGGATTGATCTTACCGGTCCACCTACCTTTTGCCACCAACTGTGTGTTGTGAATTTGGGAATGTGTTATATACATGGATGTCTGAAATTACTTTCAGATCACAGCAACCCTATTGACCAGCGACAGCCCATGAATCATTAGCGTGCGACTTGGAAGTATATAAGGGCGCCTTGCAAACATGATAATCACCTTTTCGTCTGAAGCGACTGTTTGATAGGCAGGCCCTGAGGCATGGCGAAAAGACGCAGTCAGACGTACCCTTTCAAAAGTTAACTAGCACTGCGTCGATTGACGCTAAGGGGAACAATACACCAACGTCACCATGCTAAGGGGAGTGCATACCCATTGGCAGTCACAACTGGCAAAACCAGCAAATTCAAATGAAATGCCAGAACCACTCACTGGGCTGTCAGTGACAGCATTCCCTACGGTCATAGCCCAAGCTATACGTTCCACAGGAAAACCTCAACAAAAATTGTTTAATGAAAGGCCTACCTGGGCCTGCTCAAGGGCCTAGGACCACTGCTTCAATTTTAGAAGAGGTCCCTTCTAGGGAATGTGGCTAGGGAACCTGAAGGAGCTCCAGCCAATCACTATTCAGGGGAACATACTCACCCAAAATGCCACCAGGAAAGCCTGAGCTGGTGTCACTTACATAGACACTTCAGCCTGGGAAAATTCCTGTCTGTCCGAAGACAGAGCCTCTGGACACATGCCTTTAGATAAGGCTACCAACCAGAGGGACACCAAAGCTGACAGTTAACAACTTTCCCTGGATCTCAGAGATGGCGTATCCAGGAGTGCATGACTCAGCATAACGCTTACAACCCTTGCCTGCGAGGGGAGTTTCTCTGAGAGGAGAAGGCTAAGATAAAATTACGCCCTCAGGAGAGGTGATCCATCACCTGTATGTGTTTGTACTGGATCCCCTCCCTTAGATCCCTCTTTCTGCGACCTACTCCTTCACGGAGGAGGAGCACAAGAGGTGACACTGGCCCTTCGGCCCTGTCTACGGTCCTCGGACTACGATCTGTCTGAGCGTGGATACGGATCTGTGCACCTTCGCCTCTCTGAACTTTCCAACTACCACCTCCACGGAGCTGCCGAAAAGCTCAGAGGGTATCGAGCAAATTGAGGAGAATCGAGCAGAAAGTCTTTCTCTTTCTTCCCAATGTCGGCCAGGTTCAACCACAGATATCTCTCCATGGTCACTATCACCGCCATCAACTGGCCGATCTAGGCAGCAGTCTATTTGGTGGCCCGGAGAGCTAGATCTGTGGTGTGGCTCACCTCAGGGGCCCCACCCCCTGGTCTAGATATCTCAGCAGATCAGCCTGGCATACCTGCAACACCACCATGGTGTGCAGGGCAGCACCGAACTGACCTGCTGATGTGTATGCTCTGCCATTCAAACTGGCAGGGTTGAAGCTCTCAGTGTCATGTCCGCTCTCCTATGCCCTCAACGTCAACGAGACTAGCCTGCTGATGTCGGTGGATACGGGCAGAATATGAGTTCTTCCATGTCATCGCGATCTCAGTATGGACATAAAGAAGAAGTGGAAGGCTCACCTGAGCTGGTGGTTTATGACTGGGGAGTAACCTCTCTTATTGCGAGCGATTTCTCCCCCAAGGCAGCCGCAGTCTGCCCGCGGCACGTTCCATAACACCAACGACGCTCAGTATACACGGGGCAGGGTGGCTGAGAAGGTTCAGGATCTATCCGATTATCACCACCGTCATCAGCCATCTCCTGTTCGTCCGGAACGGCACTCGCTGCCTCACTATGTTCTTTTTTTGATAGAAAAACCTTCATCATCCATCTGGGAACGCCATGACGCTAGTCGCATGAGCCGGACCTGAGCCATGAGGTCCAGAGCCAAACCCTCTTCTCTCAAGAAGAGGGCCAGACGAGAGCCGAGCGTTCTCAAAGAAAAACGCTTACAGTTTGCATAGACAGTTCCCTCGAGACCTGTCTGTGTGCGCTCTTCCTTCCTAGACAGAAAACACCCAGTTTTGTGTGTCACCTGGCGTCAAATATCTTGAGCACGGGCCTACACATTTCCAAAAGCGCTCAGCCTTCTCAGTGCATTTCATAATTACCTGATTTGCAAGCGCTTACAGACAAAACAGTCCCTGAAGATGAAAAGATGATTATCATGTATGCAAGGCACCCTTATATACAGTACTTCCAGGCAGTGTTGTAGTCGAGACCACCTCACTCGAGTCCGAGTCGAGACCGAGACCAGATTTTATTTTTAGAGAAATCTTTTTTTTTTTTTTTTTTACTGAATTTACTTAGAGTTTAAAAAATATGATCAGTTTAGGATAAAAAGGCCACATAGTAGGTGGTGTTAAAAGTAATTTTATTACAATTTGTCATGCGCAGTTGTGCACTAGAAAATCACCAATCACTGGGCGTGTCAATCAATTTAAAGAAATATTTTATTAACATACATTAATAATCATGAAATATAGTTTGAATTGAACTCGAGTGGACTCGGGAATAAGTCCGAGTCCTAAAAAAAAAATGTTCGAGTACGAGTCAATTCCGAGTCCAAATGCACACGAGTCCATGACAAGACCAAGACCATTAAAATATGGTCTCGAGACCGAGTCCGAGACGAGTCCGAGTCTCGAGTACTACAACACTGCTTCCAGGTCACACGTTAATGATTCATGGGCTGTCTCCGGTAAATAGGATTGTCGTGATTTGATAGTAATTTCAGACACCGGTCATACCTGAGTATACACCGGTATCCCCTTAGCATCAATCGTCACAGTGTGAGTTATCTTTCGAAAGGGAACAAATGTTTAACAAATATAACTTTTTATATTTTTGTAAAGAGCAGATTCTAATGTTTTCTGTTTTTTTGTGTTTATGTGTGTGTGTCTACAGGTTTGATTACCAGGAGCTGCTTCACAACTCCAGTTTTTGCCTTGTTCCTCGAGGCAGGAGGCTTGGGTCCTTCCGCTTTCTAGAGGCCCTGCAGGTAGGTGACACTGATGTTTGCCTGTCTTAAACACTTTCACAGCATACTTCCTTTCATAACAGGTGTTTTTGACTGATTTGGATGTTTTTAGGGCTCTGCCGTTTGGAGCCCTGAGGTTACACTACTCTGACGTAGGGGTTATTGATATTGACATTCTGTCATCTTTTCAAAAACACCCAGAGATTCCTATATTGAAGAGGAGAGGTGAAGGGAACTATTAATAAATCTCTCTCTCTCTCTCTCTCTCTCTCTCTCTCTCTCTCTCTCTCTCTCTCTCTCTCTCTCTCTCTGTGTGTGTGTGTGTGGTTCATTAGTTGTTTTCTCTGAGGTTCGTCAGGAGAATCAACTATGCAGCTGAAACTCCACTTGCATCACTTCTTTTTTTATATATTAGGAAAAAAATACAGTTCAGTGCCTCTACCACATAACTTTTGTGCATTATATTATATGTTCATGTTCCCGATACTTACTAAGCAACTATTTTAATCTAAGTTTGAGAAGATTTTGTATTGTGAACTGTTAAGTTTGTTAAAAGTGTCATATAAGCCAGTAACACCTACTGTATGAGTAGTCACGCAGAAAGCATGAGATGAAACTTCAGCTCAATATCTTAATATCTGACTGCCAGAATGCAGAAGTTGTCAATGCCACACATGGAGGATTCTAAGTTGAACAGAGAGTTTGCATAATACATAATACTATTAATATTATTAATTAATATGATTAATTATTAATAGTAACTTGGAACGGTGGAGCTTATGGTACAGTTATTCATGTACATATGTACCGATCACGTTTAAAACATACATTTTAAAATGTAGACTTACTGTCTTTGATGTCACATGATCTTTCAGAAATCCTACAAAATGCTGATCTGATGCTCTGGGAACTGATTTGATTCTTTTATTATCCTCACAACTGAAAATTATTTTATTTTAAAATCAGGAATTTTATTTCTATTTGAATTATTTATATTTTATTTATATTTTTTAATTACTTATTTTATTTATAATAAGTATAGAGTTTCATAAAATCTAAAAGTGGATTAATAATAATAAAAAAGTGTCCATATGCTTCCACTGAAAACTCTTTTTAGTCACATATTTAGCCTGTCAAAACCGATATTTGTCAGTCAGATATGGGAGGTAAACACAGGGTGTTTGAATTTCCTCCTTATTTTTCACATCTCTCCAGCAGTTGAGTGAGGCAGTGGCTCCCTGCGTTGTGCTCTCTGATGGGAGCACTTTGATAAGAGACATCAAAAGGCTTTTAGATGCTGATGCATGTGGGGCAGTCCTTGTGTTGTCAACCATCCCGATTAAACAAAAAAAAAAAAAACATGGAGTGAAAGAAGTCATGCGTGTGTGTGTGTGCGTGTGTGATGGAAGGTGTCTGTGTGAAAGGTCAGGTGGGATTACCAAAGCGGTGGTCTCTGCCACACTCCTGATATCTGGCACAAACCTTCTTAAGTCTTCCATATGACTGTCACCTTTGAATGCTGGGCGGTCAGATGCAGTCTTGAATTTAAAGACCTTCTCACCCAAAGCTAAACCCACAGACCTGCCTCCTTGAATGTCAATTATACAAATCTATAATGTTATTGGTTCATAAATGTTAGATATTAGAGTCTTAGAGGCTGTTTAAACGACACCATTTTCAACTAAAAACTTCACGAAACAACGTCATTTTGGGTGCCTGAAATAGCAAACTTTAGAAAACAGGTTTCAAAAATGTGAATCTCTGAAGACGTTAACGTCCTGCACATACGTATTAGGTGTTCAGTTTATAGTGGTTCATTGCATCTAATGGCTTAGCAGCAGAATCCACCGTTTTTTGTCGTTTTCGCGGATCTGTGTGAATGGGGATCATTTTTACAATGTTATCGTCTATACGCGGAATGCCTGTACTTTGTCAATGCCGTGCGCGCCAAGCATCCATTACATGAGCCCAGGGGGAACCCAGGGAGCCCTAATAAGTGGGGATAGTAGGTGGCCAGCAGCAGTGCAGGCCAGCACATGTACATAAGCACTCAGAGGGAACAGCAGAGTGGCGGCGGCGGTTTGTGTAAGCAATAGCAACCCAATAGTGCAGCTCAATCAGGAGAGCTGTTGTGTTGTTTCACACTTATATCGCCAGAAGTTTTGCCTGCAGAGTGGGAACTTCCAGATTGTAAAATCTGACAAAGGTGGACGGGGAAGCCCAGCCCACCGCCACACATATGTCATGAATGGAAATCCTACTGGACCACACCCACGATGAGGCCATGCCCCTAGTGGAGTGAGCCCTGACACCCAATGGGCATTGCAGGCATTTCGTTGTGTAAGCAGCCACAATAGCATCCACTATCCATCTGGACAGTGTCTGTTTCGAGGCGGCGAGACCTTTTGTGCGCCCACCAAACAAGACAAATAGCTGCTCCGTGCGTCTGAAAGAGGTGGAGCGCACAGTGTAGAATCTCAATTTCTGTCTGGGCAGAGGAGTTTGGTGTCGCATTCGGCAGAGCCTATAGGGAAATGACCTGCGCTCTAAAGAGAAAGCTTTCAAGACCTCGAGGACTACAGAAAGATGCCGTATAGGAACCGATGGGGGTGCAGAGGTTTCATCCTTCTAGCTCCTCTTAGGAAGCGGATGGCCAGCTCATTTTTTCCTAATGATTGGCCGTGCAGTGGTTCCGAGAATGCCACAACGGCCGCTTGTGACAGCTGCATAAGCTCTGGGAACTAAGTCTGATTCTCACAACGTGGGACTATGAGGAGCACCGAGTGGCGTTTCCCTGATTCTCTTTATTACCTGTGGTAGTGAGACAGGTGGGAAGGCGTAATGCGGGCGGCTGGGCCAGTCCTGGGTCAGCGCGTCCTCGCTTCGAGAAGAATACTGGGCAGTGAGCATTGTCTTCTGACGCAAAAAGTTCGACTTCTGCTCTGCCGAATAGGACCATAATTTCTGGACTGTTTGGGGGTGCAGGGACCATTCCGCTGGGGGAACGTTGTCCCTGGACAGTTTGTCTGGGCCGTTGTTCAGGTGGCCTGGCATGTACGTCGCTGTTAGCGAGCTCAGGTGGCACTGAGAAACTAGTATGCGTTCTGCCTGATCGCAGAGGTTGATGGTTCTGAATCCGCCCTGACGGTTCAGGTAGGACACCACAGATCCGGACTGGGAAAAAGTGCCAGAGTGCGTTCTCGACCGCTATCATTTCCAGACAGTTTATGTGAAGGAGCTTTTCCTGGTCTGACCATAGACCAAAAATGGTCTATGGCCTGCACCCTAATCTGCACCCTCGCAGATTGCGCCCCAACCCGTGTTGGACGCGTCTGTCGAGATGACTTTTCGCCGTGAGATCACTCCCATCATCACTTCCCACTGATACCACTCGGCCACTTTAACGGGCTGCAGAGCTGAAATACAGGTCTGAGTCACTCTGATTAGCTGACGGCCTGTGGCCCAAGCCCAGTGATACGCACAAGTGTTGAGCCAATGTTGTAGCGGGCGTATGCGCAGTAAACCCATCTGGAGTACTGCTGCGGCTGAGGCCATACAGCCTAGCATTCTCTGAAATGATTTCAAAGGAATGAGGCTGTTCATCTGAAAGGATGCGGCTAAGCGATATACACGGCGCGCACACTGTATTGACAAGCGAGCCGTCATAGCCACCGAGTGCAGTTCTATTCCTAGAAAGGAAATCGCCTGACTGGGCTGTAATGAGCTCTTGGTCCAGTTGACTGAGAGACCCAAAACTTTCAGATGATTGAGGAGCAATGTCCTGTGAGACAAAAGCTCCGTGTCTGATTGTGCCAAGATCAGCCAATCGTCCACATAGTTCAGTATTCGCAAACCCTGATTTCTCAGGTGGCCGAGCGCCACGTCCATGCACTTTGTAAATATACGGAGTACTAAAGACAGGCTGAACGGAAGGACGGTGTATTGATAAACCTGGCCGTCGAAGGCGAATCTCAAGAATGGCCTGTGACGGGGAATTATCTGAATCTGAAAAGAGGCATCTTTCAGAATGAGAGATATAAACCAGTCCTCCTGGCACACTTGTGCGAGGAGTTTCCTGAGTGTCAACATTTTGAACGGTCTTTTCGCAAGCACTTCGTTCAAAAATCTCAGATCTAAGATGGGCCTGAGGCCACCATCCTTCTTTGGTACAAGAAACTAAGTAATGGCTGTAAAATCCCGACTCGCTCAGAGAAGGCAGCACTTTCTCTATAGCCCTTTTGCACAGCAGGTTCGCTATTTCTGCACGAAGCAGATGTGCTACTTCTGTACGACACAGACTACATATCTTTCGCTTACAGAGCAATTCGGAAACACAGCGTCCATTGCCATTTCTTCAGCTCTGGCGGCTTCCACAGTGCTTGATAAACTGTGATATGAACCGTAATAATGGCGTCAGTTTTACCGTATCAATTCCAGGCTGAGAGTCGAAATCCTTTGGAAGTATAGCAAAATATATTTGCTTTCGCAGCACTGAAAACAGTGTTCTCTCGACATGTCAACAACACGAACCAAATTCTTCCAGGCCTCACCTCAGCAACGTCAAAGTAGACGTTGTTCACGATTTGTTAGGTTTATGCAGGAAGTACAAATGAAGCTGAAGCTTCCCTGGGGGACTCCATTGGTTAGCAAGCCTTTACCTACTGTTAGCATTCCATTGACTCCCATTCATTTTGGCGTCACTTTGGCAGCAAATAACTTTTGTCCATTGTTTATTTCTAAAGAAACTACAATGTATAAAAGGCCTTGTATCTTACGTTATGGCCCCGTAGAAGCAGTTTTTGTAAAAAAGAGGCTAGTGATTGCGTCATAACCATGTAACTCTCTGTCTCACGGTTGAGAAATTACCATAGACAGGGGTGAAGCTCATGACAATCGGGGCGTGGAGGCATAACGTCCAATAATGTCAAGGGAGAAGCCCATGGAGAGTCATAAAGTTGATCCTGCTGCTCATGGACAGCTAATACTCACGCTCTCAGTCTCTGCACGTTTCACTTTTAATTCTATGGGGTCGCTGAGTCCATTTCTTTTACTCTCTATGGGAATTACTGAAAACTCATTTGGGAAATAGGTAAGGTAAAAGGAATGCCGAAAATGTTATATGTACACACTCTAAACAATGCTGGGTTGTTTGAACCCACATTTGGGTAAAATATGGACAAAACCAAATGTAGGGTTAAAAAGGTCATTTCAAATTTTAACCAAACTTCAACTTTCACTTTCAACTGTAAATTTTTTAATTGCATTTTTAACACAGCATTTGGGTTTGTCTATGTTTTACTCAAATTTGGGTTGAAACAACCTAGTATTGTTTAGAGTGTAAAGATCAATAAATAATGCTTTAGAATTTTTTTTTTTTTTTGCAATGCAGTTAACTAATGTTAACAAGTTGGAACCGTATAGTAAAATGTTGCCGGAAAAAAAAAATAGAATTCCTGAACATTTTAGGATTTAGAAGCTATTGGCAAATATAAAAAAAGTCCACAGAGAAAATGACATTGTTTGAAGGTGTCAGTGTACATTTTGACAACAGTTCATCGATTGAAATTAACACTGTGAAAGTGTTGTACAGTTATTGGTGGCAATTGTGTAGAGGGGTGAGGATTTGATATGTGTGTGTGTTTCACAGGCGGCCTGTATTCCTGTGCTGCTGAGTAACGGATGGGAGCTGCCCTTCTCAGAGGTCATTGACTGGAGTAAAGCGGCTATCATTGGAGATGAGAGATTATTGCTGCAGGTACACACACACATACACATTCACATCACACCATTAGTGCACAATTACCCCAAGACACTCCACAAACACATCGTCATAGTCTTAGTACTAGTAGTCATAGCAGTAAAACAAAATTCTCCATCATTCCTGCTTGCCCCACATCTAAAGTGACCACTCACTGCACTGGGAGCTTTAATTAAATCTTGCTCAAATTCTCAATCGGATCTATTAATCCAGATTTTTAAATGTTATTTAGGGGTGATCGTATCACACTTTTCCCCTGAGCTTTTAATTACTGTAAGCCAATTCACTATTTCCCCCAAATTACAGAACAAAAAAATGCCTCTTCTAAAAGGTCTCTTCTAACGTTTAAAAATATCTGATTTTAAGATTTTGCTGGTTTAACAGTACAGAATAGTAACAACTGACATTTTAGGCTTGCGCACACACACAAATACACACATTTCACCAATTACTGTTTTATTTCACATTAATATTAATAGGACAGGATATGAACTTTTTTTATTAAGGACCCCAAAATTTGATATACTGAATAAAGGTTAACTCTAAACCTAACCTTAACCATTTCTTAAAAATATAAAACGCAAAACGTAGAGTCTATTTATTGTAATCAAAATCATTTATTAAAAAAAAATGGCAACAAGTATAGCCCAAATGGCCTTGTATTGGAAGTGATCTCTGGTTGTATGCAATAGCTCTGTGTGAGGTACAGAGTAGAATTTTAGTTGTTAATCGCTGCAAATCTTATCAATATAGACCTTGACACTTGAATTACAGACAGCCTGGGCTAACCACTAAAGCATCCTTGAGTGCACAAGCACACAGCACATCTGAAGGCAGATCTTGCTCTGTCTCACTCTTCCAGGTTCCATCCATCACCAGGTCTGTGAGTTCTGACAGAATCCTGGCACTGCGGCAGCAGACACAGTTCCTGTGGGACGCCTACTTCTCCTCCGTCACAAAGATAGTCTTAACCACATTAGAGGTGAGTCCTCAGATACAGCAGAAAGAGATTTGCCTCGTCCAAATGAGTCATGCTGGGGAAAATGTGTGAACGAGGGACTGCCAGCTGGTTGATGTGGTATGTACAGTGGGTTTGTGGGATGGTTTGAAAAAATTAAAATGTTGTTGTCATTCACTCCCCTTCATGTCATTCCAAACCTGAATGACTTTCACACAAAAAAACAACAGATTTTTTCGTCAATAACCTTTGACTGTTACATTATATGTAATTAAAATAAAACCTCTTACAATAACAAAGGCGTAGGTTGATGACGCAGTGATAAGCAGAATGATGGGACTTCCTTTCATGCTGATGGATTTAATAATGTTTATGGATGACATGTTATCATGACTGTGATATGAACCAGGGTTCAATTGCTAATAAAAGACAGATATCAACATCACACGTGAGACCTGCGGTTATTAGGAATAAGGACATTTCATTCTACTGAACTCCTGTAAGTGCTGAATTAATACTCACACAGGCAAGTTTATTGGACAAATTAAACTTGTGAGGTAACGCAGCGCTGTTTCACACTGTATCACACTAAACTGCATTTGAGCAGTTTGTTTGCTATTTGAGACTAGCTGTAAGCTAGTTCAACATTAGAATAACATATTCTAACATTTCATCATGTTGGGCTATATAACATTGAATTGTTTTATGTACATTTGCTCACCTGTCTAATAAAGAGCGGTGTCCCTGTCAAGTGAAGCTCTGTCAAGTCCAAGTTAGTCGTGGATGTGGAGCTCTCGGCATCTCGAAAGTGTTTTAGTTCTCTTTTTGTCCTAAATTCTGGCCCATTCACACCAATAATACAAAATAAAAATAAAAAACGCTATAATGATAACAGTATATCATCATCAACTTCAGTTATGTTTAGGGGACATAATAGCCACACATGCTTTAAAGTAGGACAGATTTTGATGGGCCAAAAAAGAATCACTCTGACCGTATCATCCCTCTTAGTTGTACAGTAGTTGTGTTGTGGACTCAACTATTCTCTTAGAGTTAGAACGATTTTGGAAACCTTATTATACCATATAGTTATAGTTCTACAATGATTTTTACATTTGAAGTCATAAGATGACCCAACAAAATATCAAACAATTGTATCATATATCATATCGCATTATATATTTTCAATCATATCCTATCACAGATATTTCATATATCATGTATCATATTATATCATATCATATATCATACAGATACATAGCATATCACATATCACACATCACATATCATATCTCATACATCATATATATGGAGTTGGCCCACCCTTTACACATAACAGCTTCAACTCTTCTGGAAAGGCTTTCCAAAAGGTTTAGGAGTGTTTATGGGAATTTTTGACAATTCTTCTTGAAGCACATTTGTGAGGTCAGGCACTGATGCTGGACGAGAAGGCCTGGCTCACAGTCTCTGCTCTAATTCATCCCAAAGGCTCCATATTGTGTTAAGGTGCAGGCCAGTCAAGTTCCTCCACATCAAACTCATTCATCCATGTCTTTATAGACCTTGCTTTGTTGGAAAAGGAAACTGTTCCAAAAAAGTTGGGAGTAGAAACTGTCCAAAATGTATTGGTATGCTGAAGCTTTAAGAGTTCCATTCAGCGGATCTAAGGGGATCCAAGCCCGACCCTGAAAAACAACCCCACACCATAATCCCCCCTCCACCAAACCTTAAACTTGGCACAATGCAGTCAGACTCGTCCACTGGATTGCCAGACAGAAGCGTGATTCGTCACTCCAGAGAACACGTCTACACTGCTCTAGAGTCCAGGGGATCCAGAAATCCATTCCATGAAGCTCTCTACGCACTGTTCTTGAGCTAATCTGAAGGTCACACGAAGTTTGGAGGTCATATTGACTCTGCAGAAAGTTGGAAACTTCTGCTCACTGTGCTCCTCAGCATGCACTGACCCCGCTCTGTGATTTTAAGTGGCCTACCACTTCATGGCTAAGTTGCTGTTGTTCCCAATTGTTTCCACTTTGTTATAATACCACTAACAGTTACCGTGGAATATTTAGTTGTGAGGAAATTTCACGAATGGACTATCACGGTACCACACTTGAATTCACTGTGGTCCTGAGAGCTACTGACTTTTTCACAAATGGTTGTATAAGCGTCTGCATGCCTATGTGCTTGATTTTATACAACTGTGGCCATGGAAGGGATTGGAACACCTGAATTGATTGAATTGGAGGGGTTTTCCAAATAATTTTGGCAATATAGTTAAATCTCATATATCATACATAATATTGTATATATATCATATCATTTATCATATATAATATAAAATCCTTTATTTATTTATTTATTTTTCCTTTCCACAACAGATTCTGTCATTGCTTCCAGAATGTCCACTTGTGAAAATGCATCTATTTTATTTTAATGCAGTATATGTTAGTATCAGGTAGTTATTTGTTGTCCACGTTCTCTCCATAAAGTGCCAGTTTGGTAATGTCAGTATTATACAAATGTATAGGCTACACTTGTGAAAAATTATTTTTAAAAGTGTAGGCTACTTATTTTGGATTATGCGAGTGGTTCACTTTAAAAAAAACAAAAAAAAAAAAAAAACTTTTGCTGATAATTTACTCACCCCCATGTCATCCAAGATGTCCATGTCTTTCTTTCTTCAGTCGAAAGGAAATTAAGGTTTTTGATGAAAACATTCCAGGATTTTTCTCCATATAATGGACTTCAATGGGAACCAAACGATTCAAGGTCCAAATGAGAGTTTCATTGCAGCTTCAAAGGGCTTTAAACGATTCCAGACGATGAATAAGGGTCTTATCAAGCGAAACCATCGGCCATTTAAAAAATGTAAAAAGTTTTATAAGCACAAATGCTCACCTTTCTCTGTTCTGTGATGAGCGTTCATGACTCTCCTGTTTGAACTCGTTCATCAAAATGAACAAATCTTTTTCGAGTCATGACGAGTCAGTTATATATAGTTGCATATATAAACTTTAAATATAATATTGACATCTAACACTACAGTTAAAATTATAATCACATTCAGTTGCACTTTGTTATTGTACAAATCTGTACCGAGTTATATTAATTACATAACTTACTATAGGGTTAAGATTAGGATAAGGATGTGATTCTGGGTTTAGCAAGTATGGCTAATTTATAGTTATTACTATAGTAACTGTCACATGTAACAAGGACATTGTGAAATAAAGTGTTACCTAATTCTTGACATGTGCTTTAGTATGTTTGTCATATTAAAATAAGTGTACTTCTTTAAAGCACGGCAGAAGATTATAAAAACATAATGATTTAAAGCTTTTAAATGTGCACTTTTATAAGAAACAGTCATGAAAGTGGAATTTTTTAAGTGGTCTTGAATTTCATTAAAATTATATTATTTTCAGGTCCAGTTTTTTTAACATATACTTTTAAGATTTGAAGTAAAATACAAGTGCACATTCAATGCAATTAAGCACACTTCTTTTTTCACCAGGTAAAAGTTAAAGTTGTTAAGTAATTGTATGTTTTTAGTTTTTTTCTTATGTTTTATGATAAAATCTATGTAAAGTTTTATACATGAGAATCTCTACTGTTTTCCACAAAGCATCATAGTTTATATACAGTACGTAATTTAGTTAATGCTAATCATGCTTAGCATACACTTTGTTTTGACTCTGTCTCTCATTTTCACTCACTCATTTCTGGCTTTCTCTGTTTCTCTCCCTCGTTGACATCTTCTGTTTTCTTCAAAAGCTTTCATCATGAGTTGCTGTCACACATAAGAAGATGATACCTGCCATGATCAAACGCACTTGGTCTTTTCCAGACCTCTCCAACACATAAAAATGCAGAGACAGAGACAGATTTACACAAACATTCCCTCCCTCACTTTCACGTCTCTGAGAACTTTCTCCCAGGGTACGGGCCTGCCTTGGTCAGCTAGATGGTAAGGAAAGTTTGTGCTTGGTTTCTCTTCATCTCAGGAAGGTGTTGGACAAGTCTTTTAATAACAGGCCTTACTGAGAACTGCCAGACGTCACTGCCAGAAATATGACTGACTAAAAATGTGTTCAGAAAGCAGACAGAGGAATATTTCTGCCAACTTCACCAACATGCCACAGTGATTAGAAACAACTGTAACCATTAAAATTGTATAACCACTTACACTGGCCATTGAGTGATTACCCAAAATAGTACCAAATCTCTATTTAAAATGTAGTGAAATTTAAACAGTGAACTGTAAACTCAGAATATAACGCAAACCTGCAATAATTAAATATGTTAAATAATACAAATATATATGCCCTCTACAGTATTGTACATGCATGAATTCATATTTCCTTCAGCCTATAAGGATTATTCATTTGTTTCCCCAACACTAATAATACACTGTTAGACCTTACCAGGTTTTTTACAGTAAAATACTGGCAACACTGTTGCCAGTAATTTACTGTAAAAATGCACTAAAACTCAAGTTAACAAAAAAAATACAACTTATTAGTTTTAGTGCATTTTTACAACACTGTTGCCAGTAATTTACTGTAAAAATGCACTAAAACTCAAGTTAACTAAAAAATACAACTTATTAGTTTTAGTGCATTTTTACAACACTGTTGCCAGTAATTTACTGTAAAAAATTCACTAAAACTCAAGTTAACTAAAAAATACAACTTATTAGTTTTAATGCATTTTTACAACACTGTTGCCAGTAATTTACTGTAAAAATGCACTAAAACTCAAGTTAACTGAAAAATACAACTTATTAGTTTTAGTGCATTTTTACAGTAAATTACTGGCAACAGTGTTGCCAGTATTTTACTGTAAAAAACCTGGTAAGGTCTAACAGTGTAATTAAACAATGCTAATAAAATAATAATTAGTGCTGTCAAACGATTCAAATATTTAATCGTGATTAATCGCATTAATGTCATAGTTAAGTCGTGATTAATTGCACATTTTAATCTGTTGTAAATGTCTCTTGATTTCTTTTTGTCCCA